GTTTCGGCGCAAGCCGCAAAACCAAGCATGTAGAACTTAGGTACCTTTACGTTCAAGAACTTGTTGCTTATGGTGCGAGTCAAGAAGGTGCTTGGAACTTTGAACACGGCGGATATCCTTACTAAGTATATCGCAAAGGATACTTTGCACCGCCATCTTCCTATTTTTGGGTTTGAGGTTTAACCCGTCTTTGCGGGTTTGCAGCTTTGCCACTCATCACTTTTTAGAAGAACCCAGACGAGAAAGAAGAGACTTTGAGAGCTGAGAGAATCACGTTGTTGCGGACATGTACTTTTGCTTGCTTGTGCGGACATGTCACTTTTCATGTATACCTGTCATGTCACTTGTGCTTGTGCAGTTCGACATGTCTTCGAATTTCGCTCGTCGAAATTTTTCCCTTTATCCTGAACAAAAACTTTAAGAATTTTTTCCTTTGGTTTTCCGTGTTCCAGTTTTCCCGAACCGAAATGATAAAACTTTTACCGTGAAACAATTTTCCGGATGAGGTGAATGACTTTTACGATGATGATTTTCCCCGTGCGAAGCACCACTTTGTCTTTAATGTACATATGTGAGCTCACTTGACTTTCCGTTCAGGGTGTTCGGTTTTGTCGTGGGTTCGTGTTCTACTTTGCGCCTTTTCGCCGCAACGTTTTTCATATCAGCTTTGGTCGTTCGCTCGCGCTGACTTGCAATGGCCTCTGTTACTTTACGTTGCGACTGCAACTTTCTGAAAGACTTTGACGATGGAGGGCCCTGAGCTTTGGCCTGGGGAGATCAGGCTCCTCCGACTTTTGCTGCAGACGGCTCTGGAGGACCAGGTCTTCTACGGAAGAACTTTCGGTCCAGGAAAAGGCCGGCCGGTCAGGGTAGACTTTGACTCGGCACTTACCCGCAGGGACTCTGCCAACTGCGGGCAACCTCTGCCGGAGCGGCCGACTTTGCCGCCCAATCCGGCCGCCGACTTTGTCTTCGGCGTGATCCTTTGCGGCCTTTTGGTCGTACTTTTGGTTTTCTTAGTGGCGGCAGGCACAGCCCACTTTGGACCAAGTGTGCTCAACTTTGCCAAAAAGCTGGCACGATTCGTCCTCCGACTTTACAGGAGGTACTTTGGTGAAGGCGACCATGCCGCCTAAGACTTGCCTGATGATGGCAAGACTTTGCCCTTTGAGGGGCATCAGGGCCTGCAATGGTCGATGCAGCCCAACTTTTCAGTCTACTCTGCCGCATATGAACCGCGTACCTTTAGAGAACTTTTGTTCACGCGGCAAGTAGAACAACTTTGGATGCCGGGCCAGAGCTGGCCAGCATTGGTTGACTTTGGAGATCAACTTTTGCCAAGGGCACCGGACGCTCTACTTTTGGGAGCACTTCCGCAGCTGAGTGCGGCTTTTTTTCCGGGACGAGAGCACCCGGCACTTTGGACGCCGTTTGAGTTGCAGTTGGTACAGAGGACGTACTTTGGCTCCCTCTTCGTGCAACTTTTGGCCCCATTGCGGACTTTGAGCCCGGAGCACATGTGCCCTTTCATGTTGTGGGTGTTTTCCCCCGCAACAACTTTGGAGCCAATGCTTTCTGCGGCACTTTCTGGACACCACTTTCAACTTTCTGGTCAGGATTGCTTTTGGGGTTCAAACAATACTTTGAACTTTAGCTTTTCGCCACGATCGGCCTTTTTGATGCTGGTGTTTGGACTTTCCATTTTACAAATGCAGGGACGCCCCAACTTTTCTGTTGGTCCCACTTTGGTGACGCTGGGATTCAGACTTTCACGGCAACGGTGGAATCAACTTTTATCCAGATGCAACTTTGGAATCGCAGATATCTGGATTAGTTTTTGGCCCTGACGGAGACTTTGGTTCTCACACGTGATCAAGATCTGGCCACTTTTCAATCCATGGTGCTATTTTCGCACCCAGTGGATGCGTACTTTGCGGTGGATTACTTCAACCGGCTGTTTGGTGCACAGCCGCCGCACTTTTACCGCTTATTCCACGTGCCGGTCCCACACTTTGCGTGGCATGCTTTGCAGTCCCACGAGGTGCCATGGGACTGTGTCCCTCGCGAGCTGTTCCAGCACTTTGCAAGGCCGCGACTTTGAGGCACACTTTTCGGAGTCACTGGACTTTTGGTGCCAACTTTTTTCTGTGCCACTTTTCGGGCTTTTGCCTTGGGCACTTTGAGATGCATATATGTTTGGCCCATGCTGCACTTTGATGTGCCATGGTAGCACACGCCACTTTGGGCACCACGATGGCAACTTTGTCGCTGCACTTAAATGGGCCGACACCACGAGCACAACGAACTTTGGATGCTGTATGCGTTCAACTTTTCTCCTTCCTCGGCAGGCAACTTTTGGACGTTGTAGACAGGAGACGTCGTTGCAACTTTTCTTCAGCCGGCTGCGTAAAACTTTCTGCGTGAGCCTCACACATGTATAGACGTGTATACTTTTACGAGAATAAAGTAAGTAACTTTAGTCCCGAGGAGGCGTGTTGAAATATCACGTCCCCTTTGTCCCCAAACTTTGGACCTTGCCACTTATGTTGGCTCAAGACACTTCAAGCCTTGAGAGCAGAAAAGCGCCTGGGAACTTCAGGGCTGACTTTGCTTGGTGCAGTTGAGTGAGCTTGTGCACGGATCTACTTTAGGGTAGTTTGGTGTGCATTTTGTACTAGTGTACTTTCGCAAAAACGCAGTGGCATAGTCCTCATTTTAAGCGATCTGATGGATAAATTCATGTGTAACACGGGCGAATGGAATGGTTTTCTAGACGACACGTCGCTTATCTGATAAAGCAGTGCGTAGCTGACCTACTTCATACAGTGGTACATCGATAGTTCAGTATGACATATGGGGTTCATATAAGCAGCATGCAGCATACTCGCACATGTTCGATTGACCGATTGGGTACAACATAGTTATGCTTACGTAAAGACTAAACAGATGAATCACAAAGCAAGACAGAAATGCATCAATGGAGATATCTTCGGTGATATATGTTTCGGTGTGCCTGCCCTCAATCCCAATATCGAAAAGGGCGGCAGGAGCTTTCCCAATGAAAGGAACTTGGTGCGACTTGCAAACCAAGTACCTTGGATGTCGAATATGTCATGCTGCTCCGATCTGAAACAGCGGTTGCTTGACAATCCGTTGCAGTTGCTGTCATGCATGCTACTGTGCCACTACAACCTCCCCAATAGTAAAGAGTTTGTGTTTAGGATAGCACTAAGGCAGCACCAGGTTGGTTTTTTTGAAGTATTCTGGGATTAGCTTGGTTTTGCTCAGGGCGAGATTGTCGGATTTAGGGTTTTCTGGTTTAGGGTTTAGGGGTTTAGGGGGTGAGGGTTCAGGGTTGCTTGTGGGCTTCTGTCCGAGATCTTGAACCCACGGCTGTAACGATCTCCTTAGCGAAGAACATCTGCTCAGTCGCAAGAGGGCCGCTTTGGAAGTGCAGGCGGATGCAACAAGGCCTTGAGCTCTACAACCCTAAATCCTAAGGCCCGACGCTTAGACATTGTCCGAATTGCGGTAAACAATGCATACGCGCAGCCATTACTTGGTCTCATGGCATGCTTGAGAGTGGATCCACTCGATTTGCTGCATAGACTGATGGATGGTTGACCCGAGAGATATCAAACCATCGATGGCGACAACCAACGCAGACATTCAATATCCTGGCAGTAACATCCCATCATTTGCACCAGAGCATGTCGAAGTGCTCATGAACAGTATTTCTTAGACAACATGATGATTCATGGCACTGGGGCGGTTCGCGCTTGCCAGTGATACACGCCTGTGATGGACTCAGTCGTCGAGCCTCCTGTGATAAGTGGTCTGGGCCTAGGACCTGACAGGTGAGGCGGATGGTTGCCGCCAGACATGGCTCGCAGAGTCCGGGTCTTTGAAGCCAGAATTTCGCGCACGTGATAAACTGTGCTGGTTGTTGTCTCGGTTGAGGCTAGAAGCAGCTCCGACAGGCGAAGTCGCAGCCGCAGCAGCAGCAGCCGGAGCAGAAAGAGCAAGAGCCGAAGCAGCAGCAAAAGCAGCAAAAGCAAGAAGAGCAGGAGCAGGAAGAGCAGGAAAGCCAGCAGCCAAAGTGGGAGCCGAAGGAGGCGCAGCCGCAGCCGCAGTCGGAGCCGGAGGTCCTCGTCCCAGCGAATCTTTGCAACCCTAAACCCTGCAAACCCTAAAGCCCTAAAGCCCCAAAGCCCTAAGCCCTAAAGCCCTAAAGCCCTAAACCCTAAACCCTAAATCCTTAGGCCCTAAACCTTGAAGCCCTAAGGCCCCAAAACCTTCTTTGCTCGTCAGGAGCCCGAGCCGAAGTCGGCGGAACCGCCGAGCCAGGGCCGGATGCTCAGAAGAGATCCGGCTTCGCGGCTCCGCGGCCCCGGCTCGGTCCTACAATATATATATATATATTTATAAATATGATTAAATATGATATATATATATATGTTATATATATATATGTTATATATATATATATATAATATCTTATCATATCATATCATGTCATGTCATATCGTATCATATCATATCATATCATATCATATCATATCATATCATATCATATCAAATATATTGTGTGCATTATATATATATACACAGATAGTCTCATATCTGCCTCTTTCTGTCCTCCTTTCGAGGCGCGCGGTGGAAGGCGCCGGGAGCGGAGCCGCAGCCACTCGCGCCGGAACCGCTCGAGCAAGCGCCGCTCCAAGAGCCCCGCGGCAGGAGCCCAAAACCTTCAGAAGCGAAAGAAGAGGGGAATGAAGATGAAGAGAGAGAGGCTGAGAGAAGCTGCGAGAGGAAGGCAGAAGAAGGGGAGGAAGGGCGGAGAGCGAGTGTAGAGAAGGCTGAGTAAGGAGAAGAGGGCTGAGAACCAGGACTCTGCAGACACTTTCGAAAACAGCAGGAGCCAAGTCGGCTTCGGCTTCGGCGACCTCCGAGGCGTGCTCTTGGGTCACATAGGGGGCACATAGGGGCTTGAGGCCTCCGTCGCGATTCTTCTTTGTAGGCCTACGGCGCTGGCGCCTACTCCCTCTATGGCTGGGGATCAGGCGCGTTGCCGACCCGATGCCGCACCCCCCAAAGACTGCGAGATCTGAGGCTACAGGAGCTGGAACGTCTCGCACCCGGACTTCTTCGGCCATCGTTGCCCTTCACAGAGTGTCTGGGGCTTTGTGAGCTCTGAGGCTTGGCCTGCCAGCCCGGCACGTTTCTTTTTTCCGTTTGCTTCCAGCGGCTTCTGAAGCTGCGTGTACGGAGCCCTTCTGCCCTCCAGGAGAGTTCCTACTACTCGGGCTATTCGGCACATTGCCCGGCTTTGCTCAAGCTCCAGAGGCGCGTGCTGCGCGCGTGCTCGACCAAGGCTTACCAGGGGTACCAGTACACGCAGCGCGACTACGCCACAGAGAAGCCGGAGAATTATATGGCGTTCGCATCGCGCTCAGATCTGCTTCAGGGTTGGCACGTGTTCCTTTCAGGAGCAGGCGAAGATCCGAATCCGAGGTGCAGCAGCACGTCAGGGAGGGCAAGAACGGCACGGAGGTGATCCTCAGCAATAACATGTGTGGAGAGCTTGGAGGGTTCTCCTGCATCGCCCAGCGCTGTTTGTGGGTGAGCAAGGCCAAGACCGGCACGTTGATGATCTGCTCCTTTGCATCGAGCTTTGGGCTCAGAGCTCCAAGGCGCCGCAAGAGCCGCAAGAGCCGCTTCCGGAGGTCCTGGCTTGCACGGCAGTATGGACGAAGCGGCGCCCAGCAGCGTGCTGAGCATGCTCCATGCCAGGAGCGTAAGGCGCAAGGCGGCGCAAGGTAGTATGGACGAGCTCCTGGTCCTGCCTCGTAAGTTCAGGCCGTGGCAGCTGGGAACTCTGGATCTCTCGTTGTCACCGCCTCGGCTCGACTCACAGCATCTCTGAGATCTCAAGCAAAGCCTTAGGAACGGGCTGTCCGACGACAGCGTCGCCCGCATTGCGGACCGGCTTCGGCAGCTGCATGTTCGAGTGCCCTGCCTGGGACCGGCTTCCTCCTGCGATCGGTCCGACCAGCTGCCACTTTGAGGTACGATGCTTGGACTTGACTGGAAACAAGGCCGCGACGAAAGGCCAGACCACATTCTTCGACGAACAGCGATGCTGCAGCACTGCAGCCACTCGTTCGTTGTCGTTTTCCTGAGGCCTCGCGGCATTGGAAGCCTATCTTTGGAACTGCTCGGAGCCGTTTCAAGAGATCTCTCTTGCAGACAACGAGATTGTGGTGGAGGCCTGTGCGGCTGTGCCCGTTGAGAAGTCTGGCCGCGGGTTTTCCCACGATCGGACTGCAGGCCGGCTCTGGCGAGGAGAATCCGGTCTCCTCCTTCCTCCGCTGCCTTTACAACCACCCAAACTATCCGCGGAAGACCAGGCGGAGAGTATCGGTGGATCCCCTTCTCCGCCTCGCCTGCACTCACCGCCTCGCCGCCTCGCCTCGCAGTTCCGACGCCGGCGTCCTGATTCACCCTCTCGTTCTCCGCCTGGGCGAGCACCTGAGCCTGGCAAGACATGGAGAGCTCCGCCTGGGCGGGAAAAGTGTGAGGAAAGAACCGGATCGGGGACCTCCCGGGGCTCCTTCGAGACATCCGGACCAAGGCGAGACATGTGAAACCCTTGCCTCGGTCTTTGCTTTTGCTGTTTCTTGTCTCTTGGAGGTGGGCGGCCGGGCCCGCTTCTGCCGATCCGCAGAGGTGCCCCTGTGTTCCACAGATGCGTATAGTTGCGCCTCTCGGAAACGGAGGCCTACAAAGAGTCCGAGTCGGAGGAGTTCCTGCAGGGAGCCTCGTGAGAGGAGAGCTCTTCTTGCACCTCCCACTTGGAGGGAGAGAGATTTGGGACGTCCCCGGCCCCGGGCTCTGAGGTCCGTGCACATCGCGGACCAGCCCGAGAGCGACGGAGAGGCGGAAGACCCGAAACCGCCAGCCTCGCCAGCCCAGCAAGCGGAGGCCTGGCTTCGCCTTTTTTGGTGCTTCGTTGATGTTCTCTGCGCTTCTTCGCAGTTCGCTCTTCTTAGGATTCGGCCTGGAAGCGGCGCCAGCGCCGTCGCAAGGCGAAGGAGCTGAGCGCCAAGGACGAGGAGGACCCAAAGGAGAGCCCGAAGTCTGAGGAGAGCGAGGACGAGGAGAAGCCTCGCAAGACGGAGGAGCCCAAGGAAGGCAAGAAGAAGAAGGCGAAGAAGGCGAGCTCCTCGGAAAGCCTCCCACATCTTGCCTCGAGAGGGGAGACAGCTTTCTGCCTGAGGAGAACGGGAAGACCAAGAAGAAAAAGAAGAAGAGAAGCAAGCGGAATGTCTCGGAAGAGGTCCAGGGTCAGGTCGGTTTAGACTCCCCATCTCTCCGGGAATTTTGCCGTCGCCAGGAGAACGGCAAAGAGCAGACGCAGACAGGTCCCGGTTCGGAGGCGGAGACGGAGGAAGGCGAGGAGGAGAACAGCGACGAGGCCCAGCGCTGCACGCGTTCCGATGGAAGGGCACCCCCCACAACCTCGCTCCTTTCGAGCGCTCCATGTCGCCGTGAGGTCGTGGACGCTGGAGTCGCTGGAGCGATGGAGCTGGGAGCGCCCTCCGAGCCCGAGGCCGTCGAGGAGCCGGAGCCGGAGGAGGAGGAGCCGGAGGTTCCCTTGAAGCCCCAGGCCGAGGAAGCCGAGGAGGCCGAGGGCCATGGCTCCTCCCAGCCAGCGTCCCAGCGTCCCAGACCGGTGCAGTTTTCAACAACGAGAAATCAGAGGTTGCCTGGCGTCAGATGCCATGAAGCGGCCTCACGCACCTGCCTTCAAGGCCCAGCAAGCCCGCTCGAAGCTTCTCCCCTTCGGCGCTCTCATCGGAGGCGTGATCCTGAGACTGTATCATGCCAGGGCTATTGTAGCTGTAGATGCTGTGCAGGATCAAGCCCGTCTGAAGAAGGAGACGGCGGAGAGACTCAGGCAGCCGTTGTGCTGTGCCTTGCGCCGTTGCAACCACGATAGCTCAAAAGCATCGGTTGCCGTAGCTCTGCATCATCTCGAGTCCGATGATTGTGATAATTGTGAGTAGTAAGCAGACGAGACTGTGCGTGAGGCTGATGGAGGGTCTGGTTGAGAGCATCGGGGAAAGCGCACTGGGGAAGCTGGCCGAGCTGACGGTGCGATCCTCCAAAGACTTATTCGATGCTCATGTCAGACTTCCATCGCATGCAAGGTGCGACTGCTGGTGAGCGGCAAGCGATCGGAGGACATGATGTCGGAGCTGAAGCCCTTTGCACGAGCCTCAACCATGTGCCGCAAGGTTGCCATTCGGTATTTCTCGTCGAAAAAATGTATGGGGTCTGCAATTAATTAACTAGTTAAGTAATTAAGTAATGAAGCAATCATGCATGCCTGGATGTATGTACTGGGTATGTATGTATGCATGCATGCATGCATGTATGTATGTATGTATGTATGTACGAATGAATGAATGCGGGTATGCATTGAGTGAGTGCGTGACTGAGTGAGTGAGCAAGACACGTAATCATTCAGAGAGAGCGAAGGGACAAAACAGACGTAAATAAAGAAAGAACGAACGGAAGAAAGACACGAATAACGAAAGACAGGTTTTATGTCATAAAGAAAGAACGCAAGAAGACAGAACACACAAAAACGAAAGAAAGGACGGAAGAACGACATAAATAGCGAAATAACGAAACAAAGACGGAGGTACTCGACAGACAAATAAGTGCATAAAGAGCTAAACAACGAGCGCAAGAGCGGATGCAATAAAGAAGTGACGAACGAACGCAAGAGATATAGAAGGAACACACGACGGACAATACAGTCGTAAAGAACGGTACATAGCAGGCATACATATCACATAAACACACAAGGATGTTGCTTGTAGCGAAATAAAGACGGGTACATTTATTCATCATGGCGCGTAGGTACTATTGGCAGTTCGTGCACATGTGAACGCACGCCGTTAATCGAAGATAGATGCTCTTCTCTCTCTCTCCCTGTGCCTGTGCTTTCCTCACGGATGAATGCTCCTCAAAGGAGAGAGGTGCATGTTCTTGTTGTGGCACGGTGCGAGTGGGAGCATGCCTGCTTTACCTGTTCCCAGCTTCCTTTGAAGCTGGACGTGGCCTCCGGGCTGTGTGCCTACGGTTGTGATCTGTCGACCCGAGGGTCTGAGCATGAAGTCTTGTTCCGTCGCACATCCAAAGAGGTCGTCGTGGTACGTTTCCCTCTTGAAAATAATGTGTGTCTGGTCATTTTTTGTTAACGCTGTAGTTTCGTGTAGAGGGAGTGTGCGTAACTATACATATATCTATCTAGTCTAGTCTATTCTATTAGGCCTAGCGATGCTCTGTCTACCTAGCTTCTCACGATCTATCTATACACACACGTCCAGACACATAGCTGTCTCCACTCGTGTATGCTTGTACATAGCACGCACACAAAGACACAGTGAGACAGACACACACACACACACATACATACATACATACATACATACATACATACATACATACATACATACATACATACATACATACTCACTCACGCTCGCCGCAAGAGGGTCTCGCGATGCTATTGGCGGTCCAAGCCGGCGTCTCTGTGGACGCATGCCAGAAGGCACCCAGGAACCTGCATGCTCCCCTGATAGTCCTTACCAAAAACAAGAAGGAAACAGCTCTGGTGAAAAGACTCCCGCCCGGCAAAATTGCCCCATAAGCAGCGGGAAGAAAGAAGCTACAGGGGAGCAGGTTGCACTTATCGCTGATTAAAGCAGAAGAAATGAGGGCCACTTCATATGAAGATCGCCCGGCCTCAGTTATTCTGAGACAAGCTACATGGTGCAACAGGCTGCAGTATGAAGGAAACCATAAGGTGAGAATGAATAATGAAATAAGTAAGCAGAAGCAGCTGAGTTAGTTGTTGCACTTACGCAAAAGAAATACATACGAATTCTGTTGTACAAGCTCTTCCATTCCCTCTCTCACTGATTGTGCACAGATATGGTCATCTGTGATGAACTGCAGCCTACCACGTCTCT